CGGGGGGCTGGCGGGAGCGCTCCTTCCTCCTGGTCCCCGGGCGCGGAGCGGGCGAGCGGGCGGCGGCGGCGGCGGCGGCTCACTGCGGCGCGCGGGCAGGCGCCGGAGAGCAACCGGCGAGCGGCGGAGGCGGTGGCGGGGCGGGCGCTACCACGCGGCGGCGGCGGAGAGGGGGGTCCGCGCGCACGGCCCGGGGCGGCGAGGCTCGGGGACGCTTCCCGCCGGGGATGGGCCCGCCGGGGCGGAGAGAGCGGCGGAGGTCTCCGGCGGGGTGGAGGCTGCGGGGCGGCCGAGGTCGCCGGGATTCGTCGGGGAGGCGGTTCCGGGAGCCGCGTCCCCTCCCGCCGGCGGCGATGGAAGCGCTCGCTCGCTTGGGAATCCCGGGTTGGTTCCAGCGCCGGCTGTGTGCGGGCGCGTGGCTGCGGGAACGCCGGGCCCAGGCCGTCGGCCCCGCGCTCCGGAGCAGAGGTGGAGCAGAGGTGTAAATTAGCCGCGGGAAAGCGCTGGCGACGCCGGTGGCGGCTGCCGCAGCATCCGCCTCTCAGGCACGGGGTGCGGAGACTGGCGGCGGCGACTAGAGCGTCAGTCCACTAGACTGCCAGAAAGTCTGTTAAAATTGGCATTTTGAAGCCGGGCCCACCCCCTTAATCCCTGCGCTAGCAGGCGGATCTTTGTGAGTTCCAGGCCAGCCCTGGGCTACTCACAGAGATAGCCCCGCCTCGAAAATGATAACGACCATTGGCATTTAAGATGGGCTGTGATTGGAGGTCTGGAATCCACACCTGGGAAACAGCTCTTAAATTATGGAAAACGAGGCCACCCAGTTAGGAGAAAACTGCTCTCGGGATGGTCCGTAGTTTGGACTGTTACTGAATTTAGAGATTAACGATCGAAAAGGCCAAATTCAAAGTGGACAGCAGGTGCGGGGCGATGGGGGCTCACGCCTTTAATCCCAGCACAATCCCAGCACACGGAAGGCAGAGGCGGGAGGATCTCCAGAGTTCCAGGACAACCAGGGCTACAAAGAGAAACCCTCTCCCTCAAAAAAAAAAAAAAACAAAACAAAACAAAACAAAACAAAACAAAACAAAACAAAAACAAAAAAACAAACAAACAAAAAAAAAGTGGGTGTAGGTGGGAAAGCTGTGTGGTTGTGGCACATGCCTTTAATCATAGCAGTCTGGGGGCAGAAGCAGGTGGATTTTCAGCGTGGTCTGCTTAGCGACTACTCGGTGAAGCCTTGTCTCAAAAAGCGAACAACAGCAGAAATGCAAACGAACAAAAACGGTTAAAGCAGAAAAAGCACTTAATGTGGCCACAAGAGGAAGAGAGACAAAGGGTTAACTAGCCCCCTCCTACCCCCAGATCTCTGGGATCCTGAAGTGAGATTAAAGTTTAAATTAAAGTTTAAACAAAGGGCCACAGAAATGCACATCTAAGCAGTCTGGTCAAAGTGTGGTCTCACCCACCATTCACCCGTCCCTGGGAGTCATTCAGAAAGGTGGCCTGACTAGATAGAACCGAATGAGTTCTCTTTCTGGAAGACAAATTTCACCTCAAGCCTTTTCCTTTTCCCAGCAGGAGCTTCCTGAGGGAAAGTCCCATTTCTTTGGAGTCCATTGTTTCAATAGTCTTCGAGTCAGATTCACATACACACAAAATCTTTTTAGAATACCCTTATTATTGTCAGGTCTGTAGTATGGACTCTAGGATGTGGTCAGAGCTGTGTTATAATTGGAGATGATGTATTCCAGGAAACGGTGGGGGATGGGAAGTGCTCAGTGGTGGAGCCCTTATCCAGCCATGTGAGAGGCCCGGGGCTCTCACTCTCCCATACCTGAGGGAGAGTGGATAGGGAAGAAAGAGGTAAAGAAGAGAAGGAAGCAGGAGAAAGAATAGAAGGGAGTGTTAACCTCCAAAGAATGAATTGAAGAAATATCTCAGGTAGATTGTGTAAGGAATGACTAACCAGGAATGGAAAAGAAACTTTGGAAGACTATCATCACCAAGGAACAAAATGTTTTCAGACCTGGCTTATAAATCTAACACCACAGGATACAGATGAATCAGCTGACAAGACGATGATATCACCTGGAGAGGAGCTCCTTAGCTGGTCATTAGAATCTGAGTCTCAGTTTTCTTATCTATCCAGCAATCATACCTGAGTCATTAGGTGAGGCAAAGGGTCATAAAAAGTTAGCAACTGTTTGCAGATATAACAAACTGTTCTTTAGTCAGGCATGGTGGCACACGCCTGCAATCCCAGCACTCAGGGAGGCAGAGCCAATTGCATCCCTGTGAATTCAAGTCCAGCCTGGTCTACAAAGTCAGTTCAGGACAGCCAAGGCTACACAGAAAAACCCTGTCTCAAAAACTTAACTGTTTATAACTTAGGTAACGGATGTTGACTCCCTTCCCCTCCCTAGCTGTGGACAACTGTATACATTGTTGGCCAGGGAAGCTCAGGAAGCTACTAAAACTACAGGCAATTGCCACGGCTGTTGGTTGCGGGTCAGAGATAAATGCTAAGACCTTGAAGTCAGCACATATGTTGGTCACAGACGGTGGAGAAAACTGACTGGAACTGGACTGGAAGGTTCCTCCCGGTCAGCCCTCACAAGGTGTAGTGCAGGCTACTGGAGCTGGGTTGTTGTCAACAGCCTTACTCTGCTGTGGACACTGTGAGCAATGGTGCCAACTGAGCAGGCAACGGCCTGTTGGTGCAATTGAGTCTGTTCTAGGGGTAACCAACTGTTTTCTGATTAGATTTGAGGCCTGCTCTACAGGAGGGAATTCACCTCAGCTATTGTGAACAAGTTCAGAAGCCCAAGGTAAGAGAGGCAGTGGGCCCTAGTTGGAAAGCTGCTTCTGTTGTTTTGATAAGTGGACATGATGAACCTTTCAAATTGCCTTCTAAGTGACTATGTTCTGTGCCCTTCACTGCTGCTGTCAGCTTTGGTTAGAGGTGTTTTTTGTTTGTTTGTTTGTTTGTTTGTTTGTTTGTTTGTTTTGTTTTGTTTTGGTAAATGGTGGTGACTGCAGAGACTAGTCAAAAAACAGAGAGTGAGTGACTGCTGAATGCCCAGTCATAAATAGAACATCTGTATTAACCCCTCCAAGGCTCAGAGAACATTGTAGAAGATGGATAGAAAGCAACAGGAGCCAGGTATGGTGGCACAGGCCTTTGATCCCAGCACTCTGGAGACAGAGGCAGGCAAATCTCTAAGTTCCAGGCCAGCCTGGCCTACAGAGCAAGTTCCAGGACAGCCAGGGCTACACAGAGAAACCTTGTCTCAAACAAAACAAAACAAACAAGGAAAAAAGGAAGAGAGAAAGGAGAAGGACCACAGGGAACGCTGCTTGAATGACCTAATTGTTCTCCTCGGGAATGCACAGAGTGTTTGCAGGAGACAGAGCCAGTCAGCACTTGTCAGGGAGTGGTGGGGAGAGGGGAGGACATTTTCTTCAGAGGAGTAGCCTGGTAAGGCACCTGTGCTCCAGCAACAAACCAACTCATACGACTGTAAGCAACCCTCCTGAAACTCAGTGGGACACTCAGAGGCACACAGCTATAGTAGAAGGACTAATTATTAGGAGGGAAGACAACAGAGGGTAATGGAAGAGGGCTTGTGTGAATATGATGGACTATGTTATGCGCTATGCACATGTATCAAAATGCTATAAAGAAACCATTAGGTCAGAGGCCTCCAGAGTGAAGAGATTCTAAGCAGAGTGGCAACTGCCTATAATTTATTTTTCTTTTCTTTTCTTTCTTTCTTTCTTTCTTTCTTTCTTTCTTTCTTTCTTTCTTTCTTTCTTTCTTTCTTTTTTTTTTTTTTGACAGTATTTCTTTGTGTAGCCTTGGCTGTCCTGGACTCGCTTTGTAGATCAGGCTGGCCCCCACCTCACAGAGATCTGCCTGCCTCTGCCTCCCAGAGTACTGGGATTATAGTAGTGTACCACCATGCCTGGCCTTATTTTTCTATCCCATGTGTTTGTAATTATTCATACTTAAATATCAGAAGAAGAACGCTCTGAAAAATGAGTATTGTTGAAGCAAAAACAGGACCCTGGGTGTCACCCAGAAGACGTAGTGAGAACAGAAGTTCCTGGAGAGAGCCTTAGTTACAGGAAACTTCTGCAAGCCTGATTGACTGGTGAGAGCTTCCATGGTGTGGAGAGGGTAGAGTGACACAAGCCCAGAGCCAAATTACCTTGGGTCATTTTCGGCCTCCCTAGTAGCCATTCAATAATCTCTTCTGTGACCTGACATCTTTGTGACCATTAAGTAAGTCCTTTGGAATTTACAGACGCATTCCTAGCTCCCACAGCCAAAAGGCTAAAAATGCCATTCAGATGGTACCTGCTGCTGTGCCTGAGAGTTCCGTGTACCTGATATTCCCGTCACTGTATTTGAAAGTCTTTTGATTTAGGAATCCTTTGTTTTGTTTTACTATAAAACTTCATTGGAGCCAGGCATGGGTGTCGCACGCCTGTCATCCCAGCACTCTGGGAGGGAAAGGCAGGCCGATCTCAGAGTTCAAGGTCAGCCTGGTCTACATAGTGAGTTTAGGACAGCCAAGGCTACA